AACCAAAAAAAAAAAAAAAAAAAAAAAAAAGTGAAAGCACACCTAGACTCTCCCTGTTAGACATCTACGGGGTGCACCACTTGCACTGTAATCTAGGTGAATGGTGGCCCCGAAAATTGTACACGGTAGAGGCCCTGCACGCATGGACTGCTCCCCATTCCTGTACCCACAGATCACTCACTGCTTATAGAGTGTGCCCCATACTCTCTAGACCCTTATCGGAGCACAGAAGTGCCCAAATTTCACCATGTCCATAATGCGAGACATTTAGGTTGTTTCCAATTGTTCCCTATTGAATGCAATGAGGCGGGGAGCTTCCTTGTCCATTTATATCTCTCCTATCCAAGCATCTCTGCTGGCTACATTCATAGAAGCAGAATTGCTGGCTAAGCGTCTGCACAATTTGGATTTGGATGTGGACCGTGAAACTGCTTTCCAAATAGGCCGCAGCAATTTGTACTCCCACCACCACTGATGAAAACGTACAGACGACGTTTAAAGGTCCGTTTCACACTTCATATAAACCACTGAACACATTCAGGGGCCGAGTGGACCGGTCTATGTTCACGCCATTCCGCCTCCACACCGACCACACTTGAACCCGTAAAAGGGAGAACACCTCCTGAGCCAGGTCAGCACTGAGGCAGGGGCAGGTCTGGCGCCAACTCTAACATGACACGCTCCCTCCCCTGCCCACCCAGCCACACACCTCCTGGCCTAATATTTTTCTGTAGTGGGGAGGGGAAGGGTTGCCTTTGGCTTTCAAGCCCTTGATCTAGAATCTTAGAATCTCCTGGTTTGGCCTGCCCTGCACCATGTTTATGACTGAGCCATTTCTACCGGCATGGATTCAAATGTAAATATTTCGACCTCAACTTCCCATATTTTTTTTCCATGTTGCACGGCAATAAGTATTTACTGAGGATCTACCTATTTGTCTAACAAAGCACACCAACTGAAGAGTGACCAAAAACACAGGGACCTAGAAACTGCCGACTGAAATGTACAAGCCAAAGAGCCAATGGTAGGGATGTAGAGTAGCCGGGTATTCTATATTTGCCCCAGAAGTACCCTTTTTAGGGAAGACAGATTCTCTCTAAATTATATTGGAAATATTCTCATTTTTTAAGGCCTCTTGAACACTGATCTTTCAACTACCAAAAATAATGCCTCTTGCAGTCTGCCTTGTTATAGGAACAAAGAATCTGAGAACTGACACAGGGTCTTAATCGTCAGACTTGGTGGTAAACTGTGACCAGATCAAATTTTAAAGACTTTTAACCTGAAACTTAACTGGGTCCCAAAGACAGCAAATAGAGGAGCAGAATGATATACTTGAAAGAGTGCAGGATACGGCGTTAGAATACCCATGAGGATATGCTCTCCTAAGCAAGGCAACTCTTTGGACTGCGACAGGTCTTTGAGTGAAACTGCGGCCACGCAGAGCAAAAGCTCCACAGAGCCTGTTTCGTGTTCATCTCAGTTCTCTCTCCCTCTCCTACCCCTACCCCTTCTTCTCATTTATATGGTTATTAAATTTGATTCATCGCTGTCTTTAATTTAAACTGCCTGTAATTCTATGTTGATTTCTACCTTTTATTCCAATAAAACTATCATGTGAAATTGAAAAGACTCTTCAGCCAATGACCCTTGAGTTTCCTCTCACTCACGTGTCGAATGAGAACAGCCCCAAGACAACACACACTGGGTTGCTGGAAAGATCACTGGATAAAATATGGGAAGGCCCTTTACAAACCGCAGACAAGTAAACAGAGGTTCATTATGGTACAAACCAGTAAGCAACTATGACTATCCTTTAACCAAATATATATATATTATTGATGTGATACTTTCTATTATTTGGCCCTAAAACAGAAATAAAAACCCCACAGTCTCTAAAAAGCATGCATGATAGAAGATGAATAAAAGAGAAGAAACTGCTTGAGAAGTTTTCACCCTAAAACCAGTTGTATTCCTAATAAGAGGATCCTACCAAACTAAGATTTTACCTTGAAAAAACCTGAAGGCATAGGATAAGATATATTCGTTTGATTTTGAAACCTCCCTTTAATTTTCGTTTTTTTGTTTTTTTTTTTAAATGTACTTCTACAACCAGACCAGAACTTTTCAGAGAAAAAAGAGGAAAAAGCAACAGGAAATTTCAGATGATGCTACATAGTAAAAAAGGGCGGAAGATGGATGGGACTAAATGAGCACTTCTTATATGCCAGGTGTTTTAACAGGTATTTAAACATGCTCTCATTTACTTTCATTTTTTATAAGAAAGGTATTTTTATCCCCTACTTTAGAGATGAAGAAACAGATCTCAGGAAGGAAGACCCTATCCAAGATCATAAAAGGTAGGTCAAGTTCAATGGCAAACCAGGATTCATACCATTTTTCCCTGACCTCAAAGCCCAGGTCCCCTCTATACCGCGGTGCTCGAGTGAACACGAGCATTCTCCAAAATTAGCTGAGCTGGGCCTGGCTAAGGAGTCAGCTGTGCAAACAAGGAAAAGAAAGAACAGGCGACAGAAAGGCAAACAGGAATGAGGTCCATTTTCACAGAATGTGCCTACTCCAGGAAATTTGGAAACAGATTCAGTTGCACAAACTGAATGTAACGTTTTACACAGACAGACCCAGGCTACTAAATACATTTCTGCAGAATAGTCTATAGCCTCTGATTCAAAGAACAACTATTCCACCAACTTTGCTTCACCGTTATCTCTATTCTGACGTGGAACCTTTTCATAGATAGAACAGAAAAAACAAAAACCCAACAACAGTTTGAACTAGAATGCTCCTTAGAGATTAACTAAGTCTCCTACTCCTATCTGACAGGCAAGGGAACTGAGATCCAAGAGGTAAAGACAATCAGAAAATTATTTGGTTTAGGAAACCATTCGGCTACCCTCTTTTAGAGGATATTAAACTTTCCATCTTCCCACCAAAATGCAGACATGGTTTCCCAGGTAGGACGGCCTCCAAATTCTCTGGCCTGTTTAGGAACGTATACAGTCTTGTTTTGCTATGGGCGTGATGATACTAAATCCTTGGGGGTTTTGTTGTTTTTATGTGACAAAGACAGGTAGAAGCTAAGGACTTATTCAAAAGGGATCAAACTCACATTCTACTGAATAAGCGTTATTCAGACAGCACGCTAGTGTGCTGGGGACAGAAAGTAAGTCACATTCCCACATCTGGAGGGAGAAATGTAGTTACAAAGAGTTCCTGGGACAGAAGATATGAGTTCTGGCAGAGGTACACTCCGAGGGAGAACTGCCATAAAAATGCCCCCTCATCCCTTTTTTTTGTGTGTGGTGTGTGGGCCTCTCACCGCCGCGGCCTCCCCCGCCGCAGAGCACAGGCTCCGGACCCACAGGCCCAGCGGCCATGGCCCACAGGCCCAGCCGCTCCGCGGCATGCGGGATCTTCCCAGACCGGGGCATGAACCCACAGCCCCCGCATCAGCAGGCGGACCCCCAACCACTGAGCCACCAGGGAAGCCCCTCATCCCTTTTTTAAATGTTTTATTTTTAATTAGGCCCTTCTTCCAAAACATTACCCCAATGCTTAGCTTGGTCTGCACAACTTTCAGTGCAGTGGGCAGTAGCTACCTTTTCACCAAGGCTTAGCAAAGAGTGAGCAGATGAGTGATCCACAGTTCCACAACTCAGATCAGCAAACAGTTTTACTATGAAGATCTGAAAACAGTTCTAAATGAAGCTTAATAGATCTTCTAGTAACCTTGTGTCCTAATAAATAAAGCAACTTTTCATCCTCAGCTCTCCCAGTCCAGTAGCCCTGCCCATAATCACTTAAAACGCAGAGTACCAGCCATAAAAAAGAATGAAATAGCGCCATTTGCTGCAAAATGGATGGACCTCGAGATTACCATAGTAACCAAAATCAGAAAAAGAAAGACAAATACCATATGATGTCATTCATATGTGTAATCTAAAATACAACACAAATGAACTTATCTATGAAACAGACTCACAGACATAAAGAGGACGTGCAGTTGCCAAGGCGGGTGGGTAAGGGAAGGATGGATGGGGAGTTTGGGATTAGCAGATTCAAATTATTATATATAGAATGCATGAACAACAAGGTCCTACTGTATAGCACAGGGCACTTCATTCAATCTCCGGTGATAAACCATGATGGAAAAGAATATGAAGAATATATATACGTGTGACTGAATGACTCTGCTGTACAACAGGAATTAACACAACATTGTAAATCAACTAGACTTCAAAAAAATAAACTCTCAAAATTAAAAAAAGCAGAGTGTACCGAACCCAATGCCCAAAATTACGTATGACACAGATGGAACTAACAAATGGTTTACAAAGAAGACTGAAGGTAAATGTTTTGCTCCTCTCCAACAAAAAAATAATAATAATAAAAATGATAGTAATCATTTAAAATGCTACCTAAAAACAAACAAACAAAAACACAAGAAAGGGGGTCCTTATCTACTGTTAAAGCTGATGTGGTTCTAGAGACTTCTCCCTGCCACTCTATAAGTGCTGAAGTGGGCGGTATCTGTTCTCACATTTCCCCAGATATATGGGGAAAATTCAGAATTTTTCCAAATCTAAGCAATAATGTATTCCTCTTAGACGTAGGACACCCTCTTTTATCCTTAATCCAGCCCCTTCTGTACAAATTCTAAAATACGCATCCACTTGAGAAGGGGACCCAGGACCACAGAACTCCGAGAGACCCTGGGGCCGGCAGCTGAGCCTGCAGACGGCTTTACATCATGGATGCCCTGACTCAAGGTTGCGAAAGGAATAGGAAGTGTTAAATATGGTCAAGAAACAAACAATTCTTCGAAGCCTTGGTAAACGTAACTAAACTTAAATCTAGTTACCTTAAAAGTCCCCTAAGGAAAACTCCGCTCAAGAAAGCATCTTACCTTTTTTGATTCATAAGAAGTTCTCTGTGAAGGTCTTGATGGTTCCGGGATGTTTTGACAGGATTGACTAGTTTCTGAGGCCTAATTAGTTCAGGATTGTCATCATCTATGTAGTCTGGCTCAGCCATGATGTTTCTCGGGATGAGATACGTGTCCTTCAGGTCAGAATCCTCCAGCGGGCTGTCTGAAACAGAAAGATGAGATTCACTGTGGTCTCTGCTCAGACGTCTGCACAGAGGCCGAGGCCCAGGACAGCCGGGCTGGTCCAGCAGCTGACACCGCATCCTCCACGGGGCCCCTTCACCACTTCATTGAAAACTCTGAAGCTCTGTCAAAGAGATGGGGGCAGGGCTTCCCTGGTGGCGCAGTGGTTGAGAGTCCACCTGCCAATGCAGGGGACACGGGTTCATGCCCCGGTCCGGGAGGATCCCACATGCCGCGGAGCGGCTGGGCCCGTGAGCCATGGCCGCTGAGCCTGCGCATCTGGAGCCTGTGCTCCGCTACGGGAGAGGCCACAACAGTGAGAGGCCCGCGTACCACAAAAAGAAAAAAAAGAGAGAGATGGGGGCAGCAAGGAGAAGAGAGGCCCAGCTGCTTCTGGGCTGCCAACCACTAAAGCAAAGGAGTCCCACGGCCTGGCGGGTCACCACCAGGCTCACCTTGAGCTTCAGGTCATGCAGATGCTACCCACCACCACGTCTAAATACCGGCTGAACCCCACGACGAGCACCTGGGCACCAGACCCAGGTCCTTCACGCTCCCCTCGGCCTCCAAATTAACACGTTCTAGAAACACACAGATCCCGGACCCTGCATCAGTGGCCAGCGGCTCCCTGGGCACAGGGCAACCTCCTCCTCCTGCCAGGCTATCGGTCCCTGTCTCCTTCCCACCCACATGAGCGCCCTGGGGGCTTCATCCTGTTCACAGCCTTTTGCATCTTTCCTCAGATGTCACCTTCTCAGAGAGGCCTGACCTCCTAACCGCCCTGCTTATTAAACTTGCAATCCCACCCCAGCACTTCCTGCTTCATCCAAACCACAGACTGATTTGTCACTGGCCACCTAGAGCAGATGCTCCTGGGGGCAAGGATTTCGTCTGCCCACACCCCACCTCCCAGCTGCTAGAACAGCGCCAGGGAGGGAGACAGGGCGGGGGAGAGAGAGGGAGGGGGGCAGAGAGGGGGAGGGCACCTGGCAGCAGTGCCTGGCTCTCCAAGCTCACTGTTTGGAAGGAAGAGGAAGCTTCCCTGGAGAATACAGCAGAACCACCTGAGGTGATTCCTTCTGGGCTTGGATCTGGATCAGCGTGTGAAAAGAACCTGTGATGTGATGATCCCTGGGTCCCTCCGTCCGTGTTCAATTTCAAGTGTGTGTGTGTGTGTAAGAGGCCCCTGGAGAGCAGGGAGCATGTCTCCTTCCTTACTGCCCCGCGGCTGCGACACACAGTGGGCACTGCACGAATACACGGCCTATTTCATGAGACGGAAGAGAAAAGTCATGGGGGCAACAGCTGCCTGAGCAGAGGCTGGAAACCCCTGCGGTCCACGTGGCAGGTCCACCTGCACACCCCTGGGCACGTCTCTCGGCACTGACCCCCTCCCTGCCCCCTGTCCCCAACACACACAAATCTTTCAATATAACCAACACGCCATTTGATGCTTCCCTGTCCTGCATGAGGACTTCATTTTCCAAAGCAAAAGTCAGATGCGGGGCCTGACTACAGCAGAGCATCTGACAGCGGGCCTTCCCTGGAAAGTCCGGAGTACACATTTGTTAATTCTCCGGCCAGCGCTATGCCCTCAGATGGACGGGGGTCCGAGAACAGGGCAAGGGCGGGAGGGAGGGTCCCATCCGAGCGGGCTCACCCCAAGTACTGCCACCATCCCTGCCTCTCCAGGCGTTGTCTAGAGACTGGTGCCCTCCGTGCCCTCAGGGCCCCAGCAGCATCATGCAGATGTACTTCCGGTACAAAATGCATCCTCACACACGGTAACCGCAGGTGTCCATCTATTCTGTGCAAGAGCCAGAACCAATTTCTCTCCAGTTTTAAATCCGCAGGTCCAGCCAAGTGCCTGGCACATGGCAGAAGCTGAATAAACGTTGAACTTAATCAGATCTGTACTAAATAGAAAGAGGAAAGAGCTTCCATGAACAAGCTCCTAGCCAGAAGTCAGGATCCATCTTTATTTCTGTCCATGGAATCAATGCCCGAAGCAAACACGTAAGTGAGGGTCTGTGTTTACAGACGGGGTAGGGGTGCACGGAAGGCGAGACATGGGTATGTGATTCCGTGGACTCTGGCATGCGGGTAAGGGAGTGTGGGGTGTACATCAGGAAAGAATAAAGATGTGCTTTCAAGTAAAATTTTCAAACAAATAAAATGGGTCCTGAGGCCATCAGCTACAAGCAGGAATTTTGCTCTCCAAGTCATAAATTCAAAAAAAAAAAAAAAAAAAAAAAAAAAAAAAAGAAAAGGAACACCCTCCAATCTTAAAACCCATGTTCCGTATAACAAATTATGATGCTATTTTTATAGAAAAATCTTTTGTTCTGTACGTCTGTGTCTCTATTTCGACTTTGGAAATAAGGTCATCTATAGCATTTTTTATAAAATAGACAATTGATGGGAACATACTTCAAAGCACAGGGAATTCTACTTAATGCACTGTGGTAACCCTAAAAGGGAGGGAAGTCCAAAAGGGAGGGAATATCTGTATGTGTATGGTTGATTCATTTTGTTGCACAGTGGAGGATAACGGAACATTGTAAAGCAACCATATTCCAATAAAATTAGTTTAAAAAAAAACAGAAAAAAGAAGAAAAATCTTTTGAAAATCAACGTGAAAATAAAGAGGAGAAAAGCCCAAAGAATAAATAAATCAACTAAAACAGAAAACTTGTAGCTGCCTCATTTGTTTATATATTTTAGGTATAAACACATGATTAAGGCTCAAAATTAATGAGCAATAATATATATATCTAACAAATTACACCAAACATTCTTTAAATGCTACCTGCACTGACCTTTCAAAAACAAGCATGCCTGCAGCCCTCCCCCAGACGGAAACTCACAAACCTCAGCAGTGGTAGGTTAGTGACCCCATCCCAGCAGACTGACCGTGAACGCGCCCCGAGGAGAATGTGCTCCTTGGTGAAGACTGGAGAGGCACCAGACACACCTGTCGGCAGTCTTGATTTTGTTGAAAAGCCAAGAGCAGTTTCATCCTAGTTAATCAGTAGACAAGAAGGCCAATATGCTTCCATAAAAGGACTGATTTCTCTGCCCTGAACCAGGGATAATCTCCCGGACATCAAATGCAAACAGGTTCCTGCCCTCCTGAGGTCAAGGTGTCAGCATGGGTGGAAAGAAGAGTATTCCAGACACCGGAATGAGACGGGAGCACGCCTGATGGGTCTGAGGGAGGACAGACGCCAGCGAGGGCGGGGACGGAGAGGGACCCGTGGGGACGCAGGGGCGGGATGAGGGCGATACGATGCAGGCACTTGAAGGCCAGTGTCAGGGCTCTGGCCTTTGCCCTGAGTGACAGCCGGGAGCCATGCAGGGCTCTGGGCAGGGAAGTGACGAGCTCTAACTCATGCGTCCAGACAATGACTCTAGCTGCTGAGTGTAGGACAGACCAAGGCGGCCAAGGAAAGGCGCCGCCAGGAGGTGAGTGTCAGGGGGCCCAGATGGTCTGGACCAGACAGATGTCGTTTCATCCCGGGCCTCGGGACTCCCCTGAAGGACTGCACACGAGGCATGAGACACAGAAGGGCCGAGGATGTCTCGAAGGGGCCTGGCCTGAGCAACAGGGCAGAGCGGTCGTGGTGGAGGCCGTGCAGACAGCAGATGGGAGTGAGGTCAGCAGCTCCCTTTAAGATGTGTTGGGTGGGAGACGTCGCTGGGCGCCTGAGTGCTGACGCGGTAACTGGGCAGCGGCTGGAGGGGATCTGCCGTAACTGAAGCCCCCAAACATCTTCCTTCTTTCTCCCTGGTTTGCCCTTCTTCTAAGTGGGGATGGGAAAGGGAGTCCCGGCCTGAGTCAGGCGTGTAGACCTCAAGCGTGACTGCAAAGAAGGCTAAGGGAGACCTTGTGGCCCCCGTAGAGTGGACCACACCGGGGTCTGGGAAAGGTCACTTACGAGAAGGAGGGTGAACTGGCTGGGAGCCACACTGTGCGTCCCTGAGCACCCCTGGCAGTGGTGATGGCCGGAGAACAATCTGCGGTCTGGTTCCTTTTCAGCAACTTTCCACCCTGGAGCCACAACATGGCAATAAGCATCTAACTGACCTCCTTGTTCGACTTTCTCCCCTCTGCCAACTACCTTCCCCATGGCTCCCAAGGCTGGGAAACACAGCTCTGATCATCAGGGCATCCTCCCAGCTTACAGATCCTGTCCTCGACGAAAGGAAAATGAACACTCACTGCTCTCCGTGTGTTCACAAGTCCCTGCCTTCCCCACCAGCATCCTGTGCCTGCACCGTGCCCTCTGGCAGGGCCGCTGATCCGCTCCCTACCCAACCCTGGACCACAAAGCCAAATCTCACTCACGCCTTCAGGTCCAGACAAATGTCAGATCTTCCACGAAGCCCCCCCACAACTCCCCAGGTGCAATTCTCTGACCTCTAGACAACTATGGGGTTCTCTTTGCCCCCTTTTCCTAGTACTCACCAACCTCCACCTTGTGTTGCAGCAAAATGTACATAAATCATATCATCTCTTCACTGCAAAGACCGCATCTGGTTTACGTCCATATTCCTCAGACCCCTTGGACTGAGTCAATGAACAGTCAGTCCTTAAATGAAGGAACAGAGCAGGACAGGGAAGCCCTGAGCTGTTTGGAGTCCAGAGCAGCAAGTAAAGCCTGACAGGGCTCAGAGCAGCAAGCATCCAAAGCCCAAAAGGAAGGAGGAGACAGAAATATGTCTGGAAGTAAAAGCACTTTGTAACTGGATGTTATTATTGCTACGAAACATTCTTCCAGAAAGTAACATGAAAACACTCTTGTCATATACACGCCCCTGGCCCAGTAACTGATTCATAAAGTAATTTTTTTTTAACTGTCAAGTCAATGAAGGAAAATGAAGGTCAGCTCAGTATAGGAGAAGCAAACCTGGCTTGAGATCTTGGACAAAGCTTAAGATGTCTGCCCCTCGGTTCTCCTACCTTCTAAAATGAGTGTT